TATATATACCGTATATATATTACTTCTCTTATCAGATCAAAGAGATCGGCTGGGGAGATGTTGGAGGATGGACAGGCCAGGGGGGGTCTCTCCTGGGGACCAAAAGGTGAGGCACAGACTAAATTTATTTTTATCATGACCGAAATATATATTTTATTAATTTGCTCTAAACTGACTCTATCTTGCTTTATTGAAATCTCAGTAACATAATGGAGAAATTTGAATATTTTTACTATAAATAAAAAATAATGTTGGTAAAGTCTGAAGCAGATTTGTAGTGAAATATTTTTGTGCACCAGAACTCTTCCAGGGAAACATCTGGAGAAGATCGCTGAACAGATGAGGATCAATAACATCAATGCTCTGCTGGTGATCGGAGGATTTGAGGTTCGTCGTTTAATTCACCTAATTATTTAACTCTGAACAAGTTCTTTTATTTTAAAATACAACAGGAGGAAATGCTAAAGCAGTTTAACTTTATTAACTTATTTTAGTGAGCTTATGATAAGAAAAACTGATTTCTTTAGAGTAATTGAAACTGTTTTATTACTTAGTTCTGTCTTTATTCTGTTTAATCTGTTCCTTTGCTGTTCACCAGCCAAGTGTTTTAACATTTTTATTGTTCTTTGTTTTCATTTGGTATCTATAAAATGTCTTGTTTTGCTCGTTCATGTATGGGTGTTATTTTTGGCCAAGCTGCAAAGCCAAACTGTGGAAAATTACTGGATTATAGACGATAAATTTAACCCAGCTAACAGATTAAATATGTATCAGTTTCATTAGTCCCAAAATGACATCTGTAGCAAAATTTATTCTGCACATGTAAACCACAGTATCAACAACCATCTGATTACCCAAAGGAAAGTTTTTTTATATTATCAAAAGCTTTCAAAGTTTTTTTCTTAAAGGTTTAGTGACAGTTTCTCTCCTCACCAACAAGATTGATGCAAATTTACTGCAGCAAGTTTTTAAAATACTTTTCAGCTTCTATTWATAACCTGATAAAAACAGGATTAAGCAGCGTTGACTTTGTCAGCTTGGTGGAAACCCCCCAGTTTCCATCTTTGTGTTTTGTTCTGTGACAAGCAACAACATGGACTTCCTGTGCGTCCTCTCTGGCTTGGCTCTCTCCTCTTGGCTTCTCCCTCCACCTCACTCGTCCCTGAACTTTGTTTTATCCCGAGTGCCTCTGAATTTTCCCACCGCTTTTCTCCCATCAGCAGGACCCTCCTTCTTTTAACTCTCTCCTCCCTTTTTGGAAATGAGCCACATCCATCCTGAGGTCCACCCAAGCCAAAACCCCCACCCCACCCACACACTCAGTTCTCATTTCACAGCTCTGACCAGGCCTGTTTGTTTAACCTGAAAAATAATGATGGAAAAATGATATTAATCAATGCCTGAACACTGATAACATAACATCATGTGATCTGAAAGGTTCATTTGGATTCTTTTAACTTATTTAAAGCCCAGAACTGAACACGTCTTCCCCTCTCCTAGATCTTCTCCATGTTTTCCTTTAAAGCTTTTTACGTCTGAAAGTCTCAGCGGTGTTCTCATCTTCACGCCACTCTTTGAAATCCTTCAGTCTCCTCACTTTTCTCCCACTGGTTTCACCTCCTGAGCAACAACAACCAACACACACTGGCTCTCACCGCTGCAGGCCTACATGGGACTACTGGAGCTTTCCTCGGCCCGGGACAAGTTCTCAGAGTTCTGTGTGCCCATGGTTATGATCCCCGCGACGGTCTCCAATAATATCCCTGGTTCAGACCTCAGCATTGGCTCAGACACGGCTCTGAACGCCATTACTGATGTAAGTGTAGCTGGGCTCGACTGCATGTGAATGTGTGTCCGCGTGACGCTCAAACACCACCCGGTCGGTAAGTTTGGGGGCTCTGCTGACCGACGGCTTGCTTCCACAAACCAACAAGCTGGTTAGGACTGGTTCTAACATCGGCCATTTTTAATGAAATGAACCATCCTTACAATGAACTGTCACAAACGGTTCTACATCTGGTAAAGGGTCAAATTTGTTCAAACACAAAAATGGTACCAAATGGGAATCGAATATAGAAGACCGAAGCTGTCGTAATTAGAAATAAAAGCAGGAATATATAAATGGACCAATAAATAAATAAACACACTTAAAAAGGAGAAATTTACCTCATGTTTTATCATTTAATTGACCTCATTTATGTTCCCAGCTTAGTTTCAATAAATTCTATATTTTAAAACATWATTTACATTTTACTGTTTATAGGCAAGGAGGAAAACACTCAACTATGTTGTTGTTTTAAACTAAACTTTAAGCTAAACTGATGCAGCATGCAGAGCAGATCTACACATGGATCCTGCTCTTTCCTGTCAGTTGACCAATAGCAGAGGAGCTGACACAAGAAGCTCCGCCCACATTATTTGCATAAAGAGCCAGAAATGCATAAGGTCAAATTAAAACAGGAGACAGAAAAGTGTAAAAGCAACACATAGAAATATATTCATTTAAGAGACACAGCATGTACAAGTAAAAGGAAAAATATTTTTTTATAACAGTAAAATGTAAATTATGTGAGAAAATATATAATTTATTGGAACTAAGCTGGAAAACTAAATATGAAGGTCAATTAAATTGTAAAACACAAGGTAAATTTCTCCTTTTATCATTTAATTGGTGCATTTTAAGTGTATTTATTTATTTATTGGTCTGTTTATATATATTTCTGATTTTATTTCTAATTATGTCAGTTTCAGTCCTCCATAACCAAACAAACATCTGTCAGTCAAAAACAAATATGATCATTGTTCTCTAATGGAAGAGTGATATTATTTAAAGCATAGCAGCTCATTTGCAACAACAGTTTTTCAAACAGTAAAAAGTTTCAATAAAATAAAAATAAATATGATGATTTCTACCATTAATAAAAACATTTTAATCATAACCCCATTAGCTCAGCACTACGTCTGTCCATCTAGTTAAACAGTCAGTCTGGTTTAGTTTATTCACAATCTTTGGCTGAAAGCTTGCATTTTGTGACAACAAGRACCCAATTAACCCGTTTCTGCTGAGCTGCCAGTCTTGTGTTGCTTCCTGCAGTCACTTCGGCTGTTTGACAAATATATTTACAGAATCCGTTTTTTTTTACTTGTTAGTCTTTCCAGTTTGGTTAAAGTTTGTCAAACYTGCACACAACAGAGACATTTCAGTGTGTATTTAGTAAACACAAGACACCTTTTAGCTCCAAGCTTTGAGCTGTTAATGGAAGCAGCTAACCTGCTTTCACACAAACACTCCTGCCGTGATGGAAATAAATTACAGCAGGTCAATAATAAATGTTAAGATGATAGAAATAATAAAAATATTGATATTAGGTCCAGCAGAAGCAGCAAACCTGCTTCATGTTGGAGGCGAGCTGGTCAGCAGGGGTCCCAGATGAGTGTTGGAGCATGTTGCATGTCTGTGACACGTGTCCTTACCGTGTTCGTCCAGCTCACTGAGGGTGTATGCRGGTAAACAGCAGCAGAATACATGGTGAGTTTCTCCTCTAAATGACACAGAGGCAGCATGTTTGGAGGGTAAACCTCCAGTGTGGACTCGTACAGACAGTCTGAGACGAGGCGGAACTTCTCCCTCTCCGTTGGACCTAAACAGACACGAGGCCTTTTGAGCACCGCCTCTGTTTATTTTGTTGTTTCAACGTCTTTAATCATCCGCCACGATGACTRCRGCCCCTGCTCCCCGTCCCACTCTTAGCCAACGAGAAGCCAGAGCTCCCTGATCTCCTGGAGAGAGCCAGCCACACGTTACAGAGCTGCACGTTCCTTCTCTAAGGCTCAATTTAAGGATCTATATATCGCCAATACATCATCGTATCATATAGAATGAGATGTTCAGTTCAGTCTGAACCCAACACATCACTCAGGGTACAGGATGAGGGAGCTCCTGTTTACATTATGTAGGCTCCCACTCCCCCAGGTGGTCTAACTGCATGTCACGGTCACCACCATCAGGCTTTTGAGTCCCTGCTGCAGCTGTACCAGGCCCGGGCCCACTATGAGGAGTTTTGCATCCCGATGTGCGTTCTGCCTGCTACCATTAGTAACAATGTTCCGGGCACCGACCTCAGCCTCGGAGCCGACACGTCGCTCAACGCCATRGTGGAGGTAAGGGCCCAAACGGAGAGACATGTACTCAATGTACGGCTGGAAGGTTTCACCTTTTTTCAGTCACTTCGGGCCGTTTTACATGAGAAAGTTTGATTACAAATTTTAAATGTCGTCATTTTTTTCTTTCTGGTATTCATGACTTTGCAAAAGCTACAGTGAAGAATAATGAGAAGCAATTATCTTGTTAAAGGMATCCCCGATTAGTTGTAACATTAGCATTAGCCCCGATGCTATCACCATCACCGAGGTCCTCCGTCCACATGACAGAGAGGGGAACACAAAAATGACTCAGCCTGCAACTGAAAATATGGATGGAGGACCTCAGTTTAGCTTGTTTGTCGCACTACCGCTGAGCTAATATATATAAGGCAATAAAGTGTCGGCGCTAGCGCAAATGCTAACAGGCTWAGCTGAGGTTCTTCTTCCATGAAGCAGCTCTGTTGTCCTCCATCCATATTTTCAGTTKCAGGCTGAGTCATTTCTACCTTCTCCTCTCTGTCAACGCTCTCTGGTTTCATTTAAAAGAGTCGATCYTCAGATATTGTCCAAGATTAACCTTCAGGGTGGATATAGCTCGCTAGCAGCCTCGCACCGAGGACCTATCCACGTCATCATTTACCCAGAATGCTTTGCGTGTAAATAAAATGGCTCCGTCCGTGTTAAAATATATTTATAAAAATTTACAAAACAAAACGGCCTACAGTATTTTTACAGTCTTTATTTTACAGTTAAAATAAATGTTTATCAAATAAAATCTAATGTTACAACTAATCGGGGATCCATTTAAAACATCCAGTTATGCAATAATGAGTTTACTGACATCACCTGATGTTTTTAAGGCCTCAGGAGTTTTGTTCCTGACTAAAAGAAAGTCATCTCCTAGTTTGATTTGGTTTGATTTATCTACACATAATTGTTGTAACTAATCAGTGAATTTAGATGTGAAGGCCTCCTCATAAGACATGTAGCAACACGTTTATTGTTTTTCACCACAAGAGAAAAAAGACAGATGAAACAAGCATTTGAAGCCATTAGACTTGCCACAAACAGCCTGGGTTTAACTGTTAATGTGGTCAAAATCAGCTTTAAAGTTCATATTCTGCTGTTTAAAGAAAGACCAGACTGCACCTGCATGTCAGTGAGTCCTGAGTTTTTTTTCTGACCCAGCAGTAAAGATCTGTGTCTAAAACCACCGRGACTGTTGAAGTGCTTTTGCTTCTGTGCTGTTTTGGACGAGTGAAGTTTGCCAAAAAACAAAAAGCAATACAGTGAGCAGCAAAGCAATACGCCAGTGAAGAACACTATTATATACTGTATATTGTCTARAAACTTAAAATATATGAAAAAAAGTTGAATTTGTTACATAAATAACAGAAGTCTTTTTTTTACCATTTACATTTATTGAAAGTTTTTTGCTGCACCTCTAACTCAGGTATAGACTGTAAACCAAAAGCACTTTTTTAAAAACTATTCATAACTTTTTACCATTCACTAGAAGGTTATCATATAGAGAACGTATAGATTGACCGCAGGCTGTAAATGTTCTATGGTGAACTCCACTCGTCCAGTAAAACAGAGTGATGCGCAGGCTGACATCCTATTTATGACCTAAAAATCATTTCTTTGTAGAGGTCTTTTCAGAGATAAATCTTAATCTTATGCAGAACCTGTGCATCCCTCACTCACAGCTTTCTGCAGCAAATGRTTCTAGTTTAAAGCAGAGCTGCTACTTATTTAGTTTAATGATCGTTTCAGTCAGAATTCGTATTAAAATGACTTGTACTGTACGGTGAATTCAGGCCTGAGTCCTAAAGTGCTAAAATGACAAGAAATTAATGTTTACAAATCATAAGATAAGAAAGTTTTTCTGTTTGGTGCGATCCAGTTCTGCTTTAAACTGCATGTTCCACAGCTGCACGCCCAGACARTCTGCTTCCTTTACTAACTTTCTAACCTGTGCGTTGGTGGGGATCAGACGTGTGACCGCATCAAGCAGTCGGCCAGCGGCACCAAGCGGCGGGTCTTCATCATCGAGACCATGGGGGGCTACTGTGGCTACCTGGCCACCGTGGGCGGTCTGGCTGCAGGCGCCGACACGGTCTACATCTACGAGGAGCAGTTTGACATCCGTGACCTGCAGGTCAGAGCAGAAATGTTTCAAAATAAGGTTCAGAATCATTTCTTTATGTTTTATAGATATTAAACTGTAGATATTTAGTATACTTTGTAATAAATGTGATGAACAGACTGACAGACAAGGACTACATGATGTGTAGTGAGAGTAGGGAGCAGGTGGAAGAGAAGAGAGGAGGAGCTATGCTTTGGAGGGAAGAAAGTCAGTATAAGACAGAATCCATGTGTGAACAAGAAAGAAGCAGGTTTAAATAATATTATTATAATTATAAAGGTGATCAAGTGTTTGAAGATGCACACAGAGGACTTTTTAAACAACCAATCAAATCTACGTCAAACATGAACTTTGCTGTTCCTAGTTTAAGAAGTGTGGTTTTGGAGCCCCCTGGTGGTGTTTGTGTCTCTCTGCGCCTCTCTCTCCTCCACACTGATGATGACACTGAGGTGTCAGACTTTAAGCAGCTTCTCTCCCCTCCACTTTAAACTGAAGCTCTGTTTTGTCCTCAGAACAACGTGGAACATCTGACGCAGAAAATGAAGACGAGCATCCAGAGAGGCTTGGTGCTCCGGTGAGTTTGATCCTGTTTGATTTCACAGTTGCGTTTGCACTTTTCACGGCTTTTCACTGTTTTATAAAGAATTTAGTTTGAAAGATTATGAAAGAATGTGAAAGATTTCCACYGCAGTTTTTGTTAAAAAGCAATTAAAAGTGTCTGATTGTTTAGTCCTTCATGCATCAGTGATCCTACACTTTATGTGCTGCATTGTGGTTATTTTGGTCCACTGCAGCTACAGTGTTAAAATACTTTCAGCTGGATGAAGGTCTGAGGAAATAGGACAAATGGAATACTTTGCATAGAGTGAAGGTGACTTTGTGAGCCGGTGCAGTGAGCTGCGCCTAATTTTCTTTAACTAAAAGACTGAAACAGAGCGGTGCACGATTTCAAACAGAAAAACCAAACAAATGGCATTTCCTGGCTGCAAACAAAACGGATACGCACATCTCATATTAGTGTTCCTAGAGTATTTTAAGTTGTTTTTGGTAAAGTATATATAAAAACTCATAAATTAGTCTCTTCTGCATTTAATTTCCTATAGTTACATGTTCAAATATGTTCTTATTTTATTAGGGGCACTATGATTAACTGAAGTTTTGAGTCACAGTCGTGTCAGAATCGGGTGTTTCTGGCACCAGACCATGGCTCCTGTAGTGGTTTTTAAAAATACTTTTTAAGAGCTGTTCTTGCTCTAACATACTGACATTGCTGATACAGTTGTGATTCATAAACAGTAACTTCATATTTTATTATTGTAGCTTCTGTGATGTGTGGGGCCTGTGTGAGTCTGTTTTCTAACAACATAAAAAAAGATTGACAAAGTCTTTCCACCTCTTTTCATMTTGATCTTAACCCTCTATGGCATGACTTTTTATTTTAGGAAAAAAAATTGAACCTTGTTTATAGGAACTTTGATGTCCCTATATTGATCATAAAATGTGACCACCCCCACACCAACATTTTGGTTTGTTGCCCACATGCTATAAAGGCACTAAAACGCCAAGGTTTTTCTACATTGAATAACAATGGACTGAGGAACAAACAAGCAATAAATACCTTATTTTTTACTTTAAAAAACAACAATTTCAGTGTAACTTATTTATGATTTTTAAGGGGTTTGGTGATGTCACACCAAATGGTTTGTAAATTTGACTGCTTTACGACAGTCTCCATGTATTGAGAAAATGTCGTGCCATATTAGTGGGAGGGGAGGCATGATAATGTCTAATTTTCTAAAAAAAAATTCACAAACAACAGACAGGCCGTTTGTTTAATACAATCGCAGGAAGTATAAAGATGAAGAAGGTCATTTACCTGTTTTCACCTGCTGATACATGCACGCGTTCACATGCACTTGTATTTCTATCCTTATTGGGATTTTTAACTGACTTCCATTCATTTCCAGTTGTTTCTATAGTCTCACCCAGACCTCTTACCCTAATCCTAGCCCTCCTAGTATGGATGAGGTGGGGGGAGTCATCGAGAGACTGTAAACAACCTAAACCTTACCTAAACTCAATTCATATTAGTCTTAAAACTAACCTCCAACCCAAAAATGGAGTTCCACCATATTAGGACCGACTTTGGTCTCAGTAAGGTTTACTGCAGGTATGAGCAATCCTGGTCCTGSAGGMCCACAGCCCTGCATGTTTTATTTGTTTCTCTGCTTCAGCACACCTGATGTGAATGAATAYATGATTATCAGGCTTCTGCAGTACGGAGGACCAAAACTGACATWATTAGAAATAAAAGCAGAATTAWATAAACCACTAAATAAATYCACTTAAAATGCACCAATTAAATTTAAAAAGGAGAATTTTATCTCCTGTTTCATATTTTAATTGAGTTTCATATTTGTTTTTCCAGGTTAGTTCCAATAAATTAGTTTATATATTTCAGATTTAAATTTTAATGTTTTTAAAATACATTTTGTTTTTGCTTTTACTTGTACATGCATTTGTGTGTTTTAACTCTTTATACTTATTTTTATATATTTTTTCCAATAAGTCATTTTATTTTTATGTGTTGCACGCTTGTGCTGCCTCAGTTTAGCTAAAAGTTTAGTTTAAAACAAAGGCAAGGAGGAAAACATTATTGTTTTTGTGCATTTTTAAACTAAACTTTAAGCTAAACTGTAGCAGCACAAGCATAGAAATAAAAAGACTTGTTGGAAAAAACATAAAAAATAATTCAATTTAAGCATTCAAGAGACACAAATGCATGTACAAGTAAAAACTATGTAAAATATATATTAAAAAACATTAAAAATTTAAATCGTGTTAAAATATATAGTTTATAAGCTGGAAAAATAAATATGGTCAATTAAATTATAAAACATGAGGAAAAGTTCTTTTTAATTTATTTGGTGCATTTTAAATGTATTTATTTAAAGGTTTATTTATCTATTTCTGCTTTTATTTCTAATTATGTCAGTGTTGGTCCTCCGTACTGCAGAACTTGGAAGAGGTAGTTCAGTGACTGAATCAGGTGTGTTGGAGCAGGGAAAAACGTAAAAACATGTAGGGCTGCGGCCCTCCAGGACCATGATTGCCCACCCCTGGTTTACTGGTTTTGGTCGTAAAATTATCACACACACACACACACACACACACACAGAGCATGTGACATTGCTGACTGAACCTTGATCTTCAAACTTTCCTTCAACTCTAATTKTGGGGTCRACTCTTCCTCACRGTCAGTCTCAAGCTCACCATCCTCGCTGGATGAGCCTAAATCAAGTTTCTTGCACCCATAAAATGTTTTTACATCCATTTTCTGAGTAATAACGAATAATACAGCAAAAAAATTATAATTATAATAATAAATTAGGGAGATAATTATGTTTTTCTGCTAAACTACATTTGCATATCATTGGTCAAACAATAGTGGTCTAACTGCACAATGTTGCCCTGGGGCAAATGAAGGAAAAAGTACCATTTCTGTGTATAAATAAAAGTAAAAAATATTTTTCATCAATCAAATATGTTTCTGCACATCACAGTATTTTTTGTACAAAATTATTTAAATGTAAACATGCTAAAAAGTTACATTTGTATCACCTTCTGATAGCAGTGTGTCCAAGCCAGCTATGGTCCCACTAAAGGTGGTTCCAACCCCAGACAAAATGTCACATGCGGTCCAAACTCAAATTTCATTGGTCACAAACTTGTCATCAGAATTTTAATGTGAATTTTTACTTAAACAATTTTAAAGGGAATGTGTGAGAGCCAAAATAATGGTTCGTTGCCCGAGGGCAACACCATGCCATAGTGTTAAGGCATCTTGTATTTTTGGAACTGGYGCCTTCACATACTTTAGCGTACTATAATTACACTATAGTATAAGTACTCAAGCTTTTTTTAAATTGGGGYAAAATGTCCAGTCCTGAACCTGCATACAACTGGCACCCTGTCAAACAGGTTGCTCTTCTTTTCAAACTGCAAATTTTCATCATTTGTGTGTTTCAGGAACGAGAACTGCAACGAAAACTTCACCACCGACTTCATCTACCAGCTGTACTCTGAGGAAGGTCGAGGCGTGTTCGACTGCAGGAAGAACATCCTGGGTCACATGCAGCAGGTAGAGATACACACAGTACTACACAGGAAACACAACAGGCTCTGTGCRGAGGTGTTTAGACTGCTGGTCCAGGTTAAATTCACTAATAGACCATTTGGTAGTCAGAAACGCGCAGAGCGAAGCCTCGCTTTTCCAGGTCACAGGTCAGCGGGGTAAAAGCTGAGGTTGCTTTATGAAAACTCCAGAGGAATTCTGCAAACTCAATCAGCTCATAAAGCACGTTTGAATATTTATGAAAAATCACATTTATGATCCTAAAGGAAAGTTTAACACAAATCAGTTTAGAACAAACACATTGGGTCAGTAAAATGATGTAAATTATTTCTAACTAGTGACCTATTTGAATGAAACATAAACTTTACAATAGTAGATTCATTTTTTTTTCTCTACTTGATGATGACTAAAGGGGTATTCTGTATATTTTCTTGTTACCAGGGAGGAGCTCCATCTCCTTTTGACAGAAACTTTGGCACCAAAGTTGCAGCTAAAGCCGTTCAGTGGATCACACGGATGCTCAAAGAGTCCTACAAAGGAGGTGCTGGAGTTTGACGTGATTTTCAGACATAAACTCAGGTTGTCGTTTGGTGTGTCTCGGTTTAAAACAACAGGTGTTCTTCTTTAACACAGGGAGGGTCTTTGCTAATTCAGAGGAGAGCGCCTGTCTGCTGGGGATGCGTCGAAGAGCGATGGTCTTTCAGCCGGTGGCACAGCTTCAGGAAGAGACCGACTTTGTGTAAGATAGAAGATTCTATAGACTTGTTTTTTTTTTTTTTTTTTTTTGATGTTGTTTTTAGATGTGGTGAAAAATGTAAGTAAACTTCTTCTTGGCTTCTAGCTAAATGTATTTTTTTGTTGATGTTGTTTTACCTGTGCAGGTTATTTGACGGAATTGCTTAATAAGTTCTGGACTTACCAACTACAATTTCCTAGTTTTAATTCACCTCTGGTTCTGGGTCAGACTCTGGTTCCAACATGCAAGGTCTTCTGTTGTTGACATATTTTTATTAAATTGTAAATAAAACATGTCTACAAGCTAAGAAAACTTTCCCCTCTCTTAAACTGGAGTGGATCGGTCTGGAAGCCGGAGGGGGGCGGGGCTTGAAGCGTCTTAAAGGAACGGTAACAAAACCAGCTGCTCTGAGACACACAGCAGAAAAGTGGCAAAAGAAAGAATTCAGATCACAGCATTGTAGTTTCACTTTATAAAGACCCAACTGAATGATTTAAATGTGGAAAGGATTTAAAAGCAGGATGTTTTCTTTAAGTTCTCCGTAATCTCAACACGATTTATTTGCAGCAAGAAAGAATAATCAAGACTGTTTTTGTGAAATTAAAACTTGCAGAATATTCTGATATGATGGTCTCAAATTGGAAAGCAGATGGAAAATCTTCATGCTTATCCACAAAATTTTAACAGAACTGTTTGTTGCCAGTACATAAAGGAACAAGAGGATTTTAAACAGATTTTTAGAAAGGTTTTCATTCCAAATCTCTGACCACTCCATGAAACCTTGATTTTCTCACACCTGGGAAGTGTCCAGGTTTGACWAACACACGTTATTGTCTCGTCTCACTGCACTTTCACCCACAGTCACTTCATCTTGAGAAACTCGTTGCTCCAGCTGATCAGACATGTTGTTTTCACCTCCCTGCTGGGTGTTTTACTGTGTGATGTTGCAGCTGCAGCATGAAAAAAATGCCAACGCTCCTCTGAGAAATAGATTAAATCCCAAATTTAGCTCCACGGCCTCCGTGCGTGTCCTCCCGGTAATGTTGCTGCAGCAGTTAAGACTTATGACTGCCATCAAAGAGGGTTTTTTCCAGGTTATCAKGTGGGGAAAATGGTGGGAAAGGTTGCCGTTTTCAGTAACGCTTTCTTTTACGCTAACCTTATATTACCATGTAATTACAAGGTAATAAAAAATGTAATTATGGTAACTACCTTATTACATGTAACTACGTGGTAATTAGGGTACAATTTTACTATGTAGTTAATTGTCTGCAGTAATGTAGCACTTACCTGGTAATGTATTACAATTCACTATGTAACACCTAAATAGGTAGTAGGTAATTTGGACAGTTTTAAAGTTATATTTTATTGCAATTAATCACTAACCCCAAAATTTAGTTGTAGTCTTTTGGTTATAAATAGTGTTGAGTTACTATTGAATAGTAATTTTGATTGTATAAATGTAGTTTTACTAACAGTAGTTTTTTGTACCCTAATTACCATGTAATTACATGAAGCATGTAATTATATGGTAATAAGGTAGTAATTACATTTAATTACATTTTTATTACCTCATAATTACATGGTAATAAGGTAGTAATTACGTTTAATTACATTTTATTACCTCGTAATTAAATGGTAATAAGGTAGCAATTGTATTTAATTACACTTTACCTTGTAATTACATAGTAATAAGGTAGTAATTACATTTTTTCCATGTAATTACATGGTAATAAGTTAGTAATTAGATTTAATTTTATTTTTTATTATCTCATAATTACATGGTAATAAGGTAGTAATTATATTAAATAACATTTTTATTACCTTGTAATTACATGAAATAAGGTAGCAATTATATTAAATTACATTTATTTTATTACCTCCCAGTTACATGGTAATAAGTGTACCGTAAAAGAAAGCTTTACCCCTTTTTCACCCTCAAACTTTCTCCTTTCAGCCACAGGATCCCGACCGAGCAGTGGTGGCTGAAACTCCGTCCCGTGATGAAAATCCTGGCCAAGTACGAGACCGACTACGACATGTCCGACTCAGGCCAGCTGGAACACGTGGCCCAGGTCCGACCCAAAGAGAGCGACTTCACGGCTTCCATCTGATCCGTCTGCAGACAGCTGCACTCCTGCAGGAAACTAGCCGCTCACACAACGACTGATCGGGTGATTGTTGATTGACTGAATGTTATGAAAGTTTTAATTGTAGGGAATAAAAATTAAGATTATATCATACAYGCACGGTGCTTTTCTAAGAGCGAGAGTCWATTTGAAATCAGATTAGAGGACGATATATATTTATTTTAAACATGCTAACAGCTAACACTGTATTTAGCTACCCAAAGTTATCACAGAGAATTTAATATATGCACTACTCATGATGTACTGTATTTAGGTTCTAGTCCCAGAAATGTAGCTCYTTTTCAACACAGCACACTGAGCAGGGTCACGTGTTTAAAGTCTAGCTTTTATTCTTGTATATCCAAGAGCATAATTTAGTGTAAACACCTAAAAAAGTGTTCATCTACGTCTGGAGGATCATGCACACCCAAGAATGTCGACACCTCGACCGGACAACCCTGAAGCCTGAAGGAGGAGGTGGAGTCAGGGTCCAGGACTGGCCAGTCGTGCGTACAGTCAGCTAACTGTACGTGTGTGTTGTGTTGTTGCCTTCGCTACTTGTATCCATCCTGGGCTTTCAATGTGGCACCTTGTTGTTTCTGTGCAGGTCTCTGTAGTTACAGTGAAGTGGAAAACGTGTCAAACTGCACATTGTTCATGTTGCTTTACTAAGACTGTCCAGTCAGAGGAAATAAAGCAGTTATTGTGTGGAAAAAAACAACAACTGGGTTTTGTGCTCATTTACTTGAGTGAATGCTGATTCAGCAATTAGCTTTTCAGTTTCAGCTTCTTTTTGAAATTACAGCAGTTTTTCAGCACTCAAACGTTATTTCTATTTGTGGCAAAACAGAAAACTGATTCAGCTTTGTTTTATTTTCACAATCTGAGGTCATTTAATGAGTTTGTACAGAATGGAATTATGAAAGTTCTTAACGGAGGATTTTGCAAAACACTGATGAGTTTTCATGTTGTGCGTTCCAGCTGAAAAAACAAAATAAAATAAAATAAAAT